CACACACACGGCGCAAAGGCGTGCACAGAACCATACACACACACAGGCGCAAAAGCGCGCACAAAGCCACACACACACACACACTGGCGCAAAGGTGCGCACAGAACCACACATACACAAAAACACACATACACACAAACGGCGCAAAAACGCGCACAGAGCCACACACACACACACACTGGCGCAAAGGTGCGCGCAGAGCCGGCCTTCTGGAGTGGATAAGAAGAAAAAAAACGTGTGTGCAGTTTTGCGACCGCGAAAAAAAAAGTGTATTAAAATTGCCCCGTTCCACCTTTCTGCCGCGATCCTGCGCGCGTGTAAAAAAGAGGGAGCTCCGCTAAAGTCTGTGGGACGCAGCGCCAGGCTTAGGATCGGGTTGAGGCGCGCTGCCTGGGAAGTAAAGTGTTTCCTTGCCTAGCAAGCATCTTAAGCACTAGTCCTAATTAGACTTGATCTATGGATGCAGCGGGGTGTACACACGCGTTGATTTAGCACGGAGGAATTGGTTCAATGGGCCAACGCTTCCTTGCGGGTAGCAATAGGATACTAGGCTTCGAAGCCTTTAAAAACTCCCTTACTTTTCTAGGCGGTGAGCATAGGACAGGGTTGTAAGGCTGTCTAAAGTTTTGTAACATGCCGGTAATTGGGAGAGTAAACTCCATTCAATTCAATGGATTGATCTTTGAGGAAAGGGTCCGGATGTAGCGCTTCTTGTGCGTCTCTGAATGTTCTGTGAGAAATAAAAAACAGAGAGTTGCCTTTGAAACAAAGGAACAGGTAATCCAGCCAAAATACACAAAAAGTAACGCAAGTATCATCCATGTGTCTAAAAAAGATTCTTAGAGCTTAATCCTATCCAAGTTTATTTGGAAGGAAGTCCCTTTTTATTCTGAATTTCTTTCCAAATAAGGCTTTCATAAGAACACCTTAGAGACTTGCTACCCCACTAAATTCAAAGGAGCGGCTTTCTAGGTAAACATACATAGCCCTTGAGAATGCTGGGGTTGTTTTTTTCAAAGACAACCACTGGAATTCCCCTGCCACTGGTCATGCTGAGAGGGGATTTAGAAATTGTAGCTCAAAGAAATACTAGTATTTCCAGGATCTGAGCATGCATACAATTGTGATGTCTGTGTGTATGTTTTATCTCGAGAAACAGACAGAAACTGCTCATCACCAGCAGAATTTCTTTGCAATCAAGGTTGCTATTCAGACATTATGGCTAAGTCATAGCAGGAATTCAGAGCACAGCCCTTTATGGTGCCAAAGACACTGGAGTCATCGAGAATGGAAGGCCATCTTCACATCTCAATCACATCTTGAACGAAAAACTTTGAATACTTTATTCATCTCCCTTTAAAAGAATAGCTAGACACTGGAGTCATCGAGAATGGAAGGCCATCTTCACATCTCAATCACATCTTTATTTATTTATTTATTTATTTATGAGAGAAATGACCATAACCAAGCTGATCTACAGACATGCCAAAAGCTAGACCACTGATTGTAGTCTGAAGATGTGTGCATGGCTAGTTACATGTCATACAGTTATTCCCAAATGCTTCCCTGCACTTAATTCCTTCTTCAGGCATTCAGAACTAGGTAGGATACTCACAGGCAGCATTCTAGTCCCATCCTTACCATTGTCACCTTATGCTGATGGAGGGAGAGGGCTCTGAAGATGCCAAGTCACTGCTATCCATGCAGATTCTCTGTGGGAATCAGTACCTGAGGTAGGGGGGTGGCAGCAGTGATGAGAGAGGAGATGGGGCTGATATAGCCCCCTCTGCTTATGCTCATTCTACCTGGTTTAGAACACCTGAATAAAGTTTCTTTCAATGACTGAAATCCAGTAGTTGCAACAAGAGGAGGCTTATTGAGTCCATAGGGGTTTGGTGAATCAACTCTTCCGTAGGTTCCAGTGATTCAATGGGCCTACTCTATTCGAGACTCACTACTGGATTTCAGACATTGTACAAAAAGAAACAAATTTGGGATAACCAGCACTTATTTGCAGGAGACTGCTTTTATGATTTTTGCTCTCATTGTAGTAAATTATCAGTGCAATAGCAGTAAACAGTTCTAGCAGTTCGATATCACTGAAATTGGTATAGCTGCATGTGGGATTTTCAGTTTGGTAAGGCACTTTGAATTTGCTCCTGAGGTTTATGGGCCACATATTCATAAACATAAAATAATGATTAGAGGTGATGGTATAAATCCTCTTTCAATACTCATTAACTGGCAGAACAAACAAGTTTGCTGCTTGTCATCCTATTTGTTCAGACCATTAACTAATTTACTGAGAGAAGACAAATCCAGTACAGTAGTTCAGGTTAATGGACAAAGATGCGTACTAAAATTATTTACAGATGACATGGCAGTCTCAATTTCTAATCCTAGGACTTTAAAGAACCTCATTGACTATGAGGCAGCAATAGGTCTAACAATTAAGTTCTACAAGAGTCAAAACAAAACATGACCACCTGACAACTAAAACCTGATATTTTGTTTACAACACACTGTGTTTTGTACTTCGACAATGAAAATGCTTTTAAAAGTACAGCCTGAACCTAGTTGTTTTCAAATCAATCTACCATTTCTCAAGCTCTGGCAGAATAAGATCAATGAATTATAAACAATCTTGACATATGAATTAATGTCTTGCTTGGGATCTGTAAATGTAAAGCTCAAAATTATCAAAAGTAACAGATGAATGGAAGCAAAAAGAGGTATTGTAACCTTATAGTGCCATCTTTTGGGAAATATAAATCCATTTATGTAGGTTTTTATATTATTACTAGACTAGCAGATATGTCTGGTAGGAATTTCCTAAGATAGCAAGAATAGTCAAAATATAAATGTTTATCAACCTTTTCCCCCTTAACCCAGGAAAATAAGTGGATGCGAAATCTATGGGGTTTTATATTATGGCTGCACATTCACTAGCTTTCTATCATCATAAAACCTGCATGAACAAATAAGGAATGTTTACAGTAAGAAGAAAAGGAAAATTCTTAAAAGTTATAAATATGTGGAGATAACACACACACACACACACACACACACAAGCAACAAGGCATTCAACACATCATCACAACTCCACACTGCTTTCAACATCAGACATCTAAGAACAACAATTAACATGAATTTTCCTCCATAGATTTTAACTGGTTTGGCTGGATGAGAATATTAGTTAATCATTTTTCTGTGTGATCGTCAAAGAAGAAGAAGAAATAAGAGCAGGTTTCTTCATATGCTACTTAGCAGATGATATAAGAAACACTGGGTATTTCACCAGATAATCTGGTGTATTGCTTCACCAAACTTGAAGCCTGCTTGAAAAGTCTCTATACTACTGAAATATCCTGCCTTGAAGGACATCAAGACACATATGAAACTGTCACAGCCTCCAGCCTCCAGCTATTCCTCTGCTGACCCCAAGCTGCTTGAGATTGTATTGACATGACATCCTGACTTTCAAGTGGAGTTTTTCATGAACTTCAGGATAGCTCAGCAAGAACCCCTGGTTTCATATGGCAAAGAAGCATTCCACCACAGCGACGGAGCCCATTCAATTAGGAGTGACTTCCTGGAGTGCTTTCAAAACTTCATTTAACTTCTGCCACTTTGGAGAGTGTTTTCTTTTCAAGCTTAGAATGAAATCATAAAAGCAAGTTTTGTATTCAGAGGCAGCGGTTCTTAATTCAAGGCCAAAACCCTTTCAACCACATTAAATGTGGACAGTTCTGTTTAAGTCCAAGTTAGAAGATAAAGGCAGGAAGTTCTCAAAATGTGACAGAGCCAGCTGCCTGAAGACAAGATGTTGAGTTTTCTGTAATGTAATAGATATACTTCCGGTCTCATGCCCTCCAACTGTACTTATTTAATAGGCAGAACCCCTCCCCCCACCCCCCAGGTATTTTATTTCTGGCATGTACTGAAATTTAAAACAGGAATATATCTCTAAATAGTTCTTACTGACTGATCACAATTGGAAGTATTTTATTTGACAAAGCCAACACTGGCATATACTAAACTCTGACATTCTAGAACTCTCAACAACATTTTAAAAGCTATGAATATGTGTGCATGTTGTTATTTTTTGAAGACTGCTGTTATTACATTTAAGCACAAAAAAAGCTCCTAGGAAATGTATATCCCAAAACAAAAATGTTGAGCATAAAACAAGTGTAGCTATTTTATTCTCTCAGAAGAAGTAGAAGTTATGTAATGCCAGTGAATGTTTTTGTAATTTTGATTCAGTGTGTCTGGTATTT